TGAACATGGGATAACCAACAGAAGTGTACCCTACTGAACACGAGGAACCGAATTAAGTTAAGGCAAGAATATGGGTTAATTTGGCGTAATTTAACCAGTTGATATCCGCTGTGGACAGATACAATTGAATTACTTTGATTGCCACATTATTAAGAACGTACAAGAGTCGAATGCTTGACTGTTTAATGAACTTTTTTTACGTTTATATTATTTATTTGTGTTGTTATTTATAAACATGCACAGTGTATCAGTCCATCAAAGAAAATAAGAGATTAATTGTAAAAAATTGGAAAAGCACTGGATTCTATTATTTCCTTGCCATCTAATAAAAGGAATGAAACCAAAGATATATTCTTGATTCATTTGTAATAAAACTAATAGCCCTTGTGATATTAATTACTTTCTGACTAATGTGTCTATACATTCAGTATGAACTTATGGCCAGGTACACAATGGTGCATTTTTTTTCTGTTTGTGGTACCGCATAACTTCTGTTTTTGGTTCCGAATAATTTGGACGCGGATATCAGGCAAGCAGCTTCATTTCGACCGGTAATAGGCTTAACAGCCTTCAGTGGAGTTTCTTCCAAACACCAATGAAACAAACGCTTCCGTAAGTTGTTCGATTGGTCAAAGTTTCTGTTCTTTGGCAATCGACCCGTACCCCAGAATTAGTAATCAGCTGTACCGCCTCTAGTTGGACCAAGAGAGGGCGCAATTTTCCTGAGGCTCCTTGGTCAGAAATAAACTTGTCTGATTCACGAACGACTGAAATAAGCATACGGTTACATCGCTACCAACAAAATGAACACTTCCGAACAGTATGGCTCTTTTCAACCGTTAAGGAGGTGCTTATTCAGGTTCTCTCTTGCCTAACAACATCTTGTCCCATTTCTTGCCGAGATCGACAAAGTTTGAATGGTCTTATCCATAATTATACAGTCGTCTTTCTCATAATTGCATACTACTACTATTGACAGTATAAATATCCTCCATTCCGCGCCAATAGCTTAAAACGTTTGACATATCACGAGATATGTCTTAGGCTGAGTAGAAACTTATATATATCCACTCTCAAATACACCAACGAAACAAAACACGCTACTACGGAAGCGAAAAAGGTAAACTTCCATGCGCTCGTCCTGCGTCCACGTACTCAGCACTAGTCTCTTTTCAAGCACGAATTAGCACCACCACAGCAAAATCCCAACCTCGATCCCACGGATACGATCTTGCCGCGCCACGTTGGTTCCCACTATGCCTTGCGCGATCAAACCCATTGATCTCCATTATACAAGTCTTTAATACATAAAGACTTTATAATGGAGATCAATGATCAGACCCCTGGTATTGTATAATTCAAATATCCCACTATTTGGGATAAAATTAGGATATTAGTCAGTGTATTTACGCGCGACGGAGATTTACGCGTGCGCGACGGTACAGGAGAATACGCATTGGCACGAGCGTGCAGCCTTCGAAATACGCGTGTGATTGACTTTACTCTTATGTACATTCATCCTGAATAGCCAGTCAGCATCATTTTCGTATTCAACACGACCAAGGCTATCCGACCTGAGCTGAAGTACACCCCCAATCGGCGAAAGAGAGACAGACGGTTACACCCGGGTTCTCGCACGCGTTCTGCGTGTAGGCCTACGCGAGGACCATACATTCTGGAATAAATTCATTGCGCGTACTAAGCGTCAAGAACTCCGCGTCAAGAACGCATATACCTGCGCGCCTATGTGGTGAGCTGGTAACCAAAAGGACCATCAATTTCATTTACAAACACGCCCTCTTTTGTTCCACTCGGAGCGGAGAGTGAAGGAATTACGCGCACACAGCCCATGGAGTCGAGGTTGCAAAAAACCTTATGCTGCGGCTGTGTGAGCGCCTTCTATAGGCACCAGCACCAATTTAATAGTGAGAAGCAAATACTTTCCGTTTCAAATGCCTCGCATAATTATAAGCGCTTGTAAGCTGGACTAAGTTATACGCTGGCTTTCCTGAAGCGTTCCCCAAATCTACAGCTCAAAGAGAAACGATAACACCTTTAAACAACGTGTACTTTAGGGCCTTCAAAGTTTCCGTAGGCCCCGAATTTTTTCGTAGACCGTAGGTATAGTGCCTCTTTTGCCTATTGGAAAATCCAGCCCTGGGTATGCCCCCATCCACACAGTCTGCAGCCGTGATACCGCTGGTTTCTTATAGAGCCAGGTCTATCTCCCGCCCTCATTATGTAAGAAATCTTCAGCGGGATGAGTCCCTGCATTCCACCCCGAAGGTATGTACGAAAGTTGTCTCATCCAATGCGAGGAGAAGTGGTATTGTGGCTGGTGTCGATGACCCCTCGTAGACGAAAAAGGAGGCCACGTTTAACGACGTGCCTCATTGTTATGCTTGGGACACATAAAGTACGTATTGTACAATTTCTGAGCATGCAAGTGTGCATTTGCCTGCAACTGGGGACCCCCTATTGTTCCTCTTTTGTTTGTACTTTAACTTTTTTACAGGACCACCCATATGTTTTGTACACAGTTGTCAATCGGGGACCCTCTGTCAATCGGGGACCCTATTGTCCTCTATTGTTCAAGGTCCCAATTGAATGCAGAAACAAACTCATTATGACGCAAGTAGATCTATGTGTTCTTTTCCGTCTACCGACTTATCCGCGGCCTGAGATATAAACAGCAGCATTTTGTGGTGCTGGTCTCAAACAGGTCGCACATCACGGTTTGATCGGTTTGCTAATTGACAATGTGTCTGTGAGGAAATTAATTCTCGTGATTCAACTTTCACTTACAAAAACGTTCGCGTCTCGCATTACCCAACGAGAGTATCACAAAGAGCGGAACGCCGATGAAGAATCGTCGAAGGAGGATTTGGTCAATATTTACGCTGGACGACCTGGAGTGAATGTGTTCAATGTGACTGCCGGCATCATGGATAAAAAGCAGTCACCCGGACACCTTTTATGAATGTTGGTTACGTGTGCGGTTAATGCTATATGAAGCTTTGCGCGTGCACTGAAATAACCCATCCATCAGAAATAGCAGTCAAAGCCTGAACACTGTAGGCCTACCTTTACATAAAAGAGAATTCAGTGCTAGTGGACCAGTGGTATGGGGTGGCATCAACGAAGGCAGGTCTTGCTACTACACAGATGATCTGTTAACACTAACTTGGCTATCGACTGAACCAAAAGGAGAAATTACAACAGTCCATGTCTAATCCTAGTTCGTCGATTATAGAGTAGAACGAAACTGCGATTGCATTGGGACACGAACACCACTATGGAATACTCAGAAGACGGCGAGGCGACAGTGAAACCAAGTCGAGGACTTCCGGAACAAACGAACCTCAGTGACGAGGGAGCGCAGTCGGCGGCAGCCGAGGATGGGGATGTGCCCAACAAATGGAGGCGGAAGAACACCATTTGGCGTATGGAGCGGAAGAGCGAGCACCTCTTCCACCAGTTTGTGGAGAACACCACCCTCCACGGCGTCAAGTATGTGACCAACCCCGTCCACAGCAAAAAACGACGGTAGGTTTCAAAGCAAAATGGAGGTAAATTGCAGGATTACTAGTTATTAAAATAATAGTCTGAGGATATTTTTAATCAATCTTGTTTAAAGACGAATTTACAACTCCTTTTCCCCTTTGAAATTTTATTAAATTCATAGCCAATAAAGGACACGTTCTTCGCACTACAAATTTTATTACCCTCTGAATCCCAGAAGCTTTAATTCAATGGCTTATCTAGAATGTTTGGTAAAATAATCATAAACACGTTTTATTCTTTAGTCTATTATTTTAATTTTTTTGGAATTATTTTTGTCCTTTGATTTGTATTATACTGCTCATTGTGAGAATAATAATTCCTCAGAATTCTGCTGTTCTCTGAATTCGATTGCGACTCTGCATTGGGATTCTTCTACACATCATAAAATGTTTAAACGTCAGAGAAAAACAGACCCTACATTGAACTGTTAACGGATAGCTATCCTTAACAGTCCCAAATCCCAAATATTTCAATATGATTTTACATACACCTTAGAGGCTTTTTCTTGGCATCAGTATGTTTGAAACGCCGAAAACTCGGTTTGGTCAAACTAACGAAAACTGTGCCAAAAAAAAAATCGCTTTTGCAGCAGTCGCATGACATGAATCGGTTCTCTACTGTTTCTGCGCACTCAATCACAGCGTTAGGGGGGGTACTATCTGTCGCCGTTTTCTCAATTACCCAGTTAATGTTCGCCTTTTAATTTCCGGCTTATGATGTCAGAACGATGAATTGGCGTCCGGCATTGCTTGCGTGTAATTTAATTATGTTCTCATATTTTAGAGCTCGCCAGATAATGTCAATCCCTGTACAAGCGTGAGCCACCACACAAGCGATGAATATTTTGGGTTTAACTTATAAAGATGGTCATGGGTTGGATGAGATTTCTTTCCTATCATTAACCGCCCCAGGTGCGGCCTCCCCTGCATGTGACGCAACTCAGCGGCAAGGGGGTACATGGCGTCCAACCCCTAAACCGCCTGCATGACGATAAATTTCAGATCGCTTTTAATACAATGTATACAGGGGGCTATCGTACAAGGGTTTCGTACGGCGGACTGGCAGCCTCGCATTGACCGTTCATTTAAATCAGTTTGTGCCCCAGGGGCGAGGGCCTCCTTTCTGAAAATCTTGGATCCGCCCCTCCATCTGTGTACAAATCGCAACAGAATGTTTATTACTTCAAAATGACCAACAAGCCGAATTGTAACCACTGCATTCGATGGCTACATGCTGCTTCAAAAAGCCTTACCACCAACACAGTGCAACATTTTGCATCTAATTGCATCTTCATTTAAAAAAAGTAACAGACTCTCGTGTATTCTGATTTCTTCTTGAATTTGATCTTTTCTGTCGTTATCTTGCTTCGAATAATTCCATGCACGAGGACGAAAAAAATAAGATAAATTAATGCAGGAACCTTTCCATGCAGTTGATAATGTTAAGACACAGCAAAGAGAACTTATAACATGACACATAACATGACACATTTCCGTGTGTGGAAAACGTAATTTTCATTGGCACTCTAGTATCGTCCGTGGAAGAAAGAAGAAATTAAGATAATTCCTGCCATTTTCACCCCGTTACCACAATAGCACTGTTTCAATCAACTAGGAGTCGAGTCTCCAAGTTAATTGATATTCGTTTTCAGTGTGCATGGCGTTTGTTTAAATATTGCGACAAATGTGAAACATGTAAAAATTAACATGAACATTTTTTTCTGGCTTAATTTCAACTTGACCTTGTTGCAATAATGCTAAACGTGACTGATAGAGAAAGGACTCGGTCGCAACAATGCAGAAAGCCGCGCGCCAATTAATCAAGGGATCCATTTTTTTCTGTATCACACTAGAATACATGCTTGAAAACAATTACGTGAGATGTGATCACAAATCCATTAGTCACTCTTACTGCGAATTTTTTCTTCGTGGTTGAGCACCATGCCGTGTTAATATATCTGGCTGCCTTTCTCTGTTCAAAATGACATCCCAGCACAAAGCCTGCCCATGCATTTATAATAATCGTACATCAATTACTATTCCCTTCCTGTTATATAAGCGATGCTTTTAAGTTGAAACAGCGTGGCTACGCCCACACGCAGTGAAGCCTTGAAAAAAGTGCGCTTGAGCTTATCGGCGACGTGATGGGATGTTTGACAGGGCATGTCATTTGTATAGTCTTAGAATTGTTTAGTCTTAGTGTTAACCATCTTCAGTGAAATCAGTATAAACTTGGGTACTGGGTCAAGTAAAAGAACCCTATTATACGCGAACCTTCGTTGCGGAATTTAAACATGGCGACTATCTCCTCGTTAATAAACTCGTCTTTGTAAACTCTCTGCGGGTACAGTGATTGTAGAATGTAGATGCCTTGAGTAAGAATACTTGTTGGATGCCTTGGTTGTGTTTGTCGTTGTGAAATAATGATGTGATTAATCAAACTGTCCTGCAATAGTCTTAGTAATATACGACTGTTATTCAACAGTTATTGTCAAGACATTTATAATGAGAAATCCCAAATTCATCAAATTGCTCATTTGTGCGCTGCATATTAAGAAATGTGAAACACGCTGAACTTAAAGGTACTGAACATTTTCAGCAGGTCAGAAACATTCATTCTTTGTTACTTATAATGAACCTTGCATTTTGCTTTGTTTTTTTTTTAATTGTAAAAGTTATAAAAATCCTATTGTTGGAACGAAATTCTGCCCAGAGACGGCGGTAATGGGGTGGGGGTGAGTTGATAACTACGCCGAATTTCGAGGCGATGTAATGTGACTAAGGAGATGGATGTATTACGTGGTGTAAACATCGTTGATGCAAGTTACATCAACCCGTTTCTTCTTGTGCATTTGAATAAAAATGACGAAGGAAAACAAATCTACTGCTTACAGCAACTGCCCTGCCTCCTGAGCTCCTGAGGTTATAAGGCTCGACGGGAAATGCATGTACAAAATTTAACGACGTCTGCTTTTCAGTGTGCGTTTGATGCAAAATGCAGTACATGTACACCGATGACCGTCCTTCATCCAATTAACTACCGTCGAGGTGGGGGTGTGTACCTCAACGCTAAAAGCTTTCGTCAGATCATCGGTCCCGCATACAATCTGCTTGTTACAGAAGGTTTAGAATAACATCGGATGTTTTTTTTTTTTGGGGGGGGGCCGGACCCTGCGCTCTTCTGTGCCCTACTGGAGAACTTGCCATACGCGGTGTTTCTCCATATCCGTGTGCGTAAAAAGTTTGCCGTTACGTTATGAATGACTCGTAATTTCACAGTGATGTTGCAGAATCGATGTGTTAGTTATCGGTACCGCGTACGGCTACATGACTCCAGGCTTTTTGCGTGTTTTGCAGTACTTGCTTGAAGTATTTCCTGGTGGCGATATTTCATGGTGACAGCAAGGAAGACCTCAGTGTCCAGAGAATAACTGTAGGCCTAAATAACGTCAGCAAGTTATACGTACAATATTACCTGTTGTACGCTGTGCTTATGAATAGGTAAAAAGAAAGTAAAATGTAGGGGTGGAAATCTTGCGTTTTGTACCACCAGGGAACAATAATTGTGTGCGAGCCGGATAAGAAAAGCGGCGGGTTGAGCATAATGTGTAGGTAACTTAACGAGTGTAGATTTTATTGAAACAGAAATGAAAGAAAACCTTCATGTGCAAACTAAAATGATCGAAAATACCTAAAAACACTTCCAAAAAAAACCCTTTCTTTACAAATAGCTTCTACCCCTTGAAAACTGAAGTACAGGTCTATAGATCAAATATTTTACGCATTAGATACATGACATAATACATGCCTCTAACGAAAAGAATTATCGTGAATTAGACCACTTTAGCTTTGTCAAAGAAAATTTTATCAATAGTTCACTGCTTTGAGATTTGAGCTGACAACATTGAATATTGAAACTTGCATTCGGACTGTTTTCAATGGTTTTCGTAGAGCTATTTGGATGGCGTTATTTATGACGATGGTCGTGATCGTCTCATGCGCGATCGTTTCTCACTTCAACGAGTACTTTGCATACGCCACCAAGACAGTCATCAGCTACACGACACCCAACCAAACCGCCTTCCCGAGCGTTGTGCTGTGCAATTGTAACAGGTTCCGGGTATCCGCCCTCAACGGCAGCCAGTGGGAAGAGCTACTGCCGATGGTGGTCAACAAGGGCGACGATCGCAGCGAGCAGATCGAGAAGCTTCGATCGGGCGAGTTCCCGCTCAACGTGAGCGACGAGGAAGAGCGGCGGATTAAGGGCGCCAACTACCGCAAACTGGGCTTGGCGTTGTCGCACGAGTTCGAGGACATGCTATTGGACTGCCGGTGGGCCGGGAGGCAGCGCTGCTCCGCGGCCAACTTCAGCCAGGTGTGGACCGACTTCGGGGTGTGCTACGTGTTCAACGCAGAGGATGGCCCGGGGGACGGGGAAGAAGGCTTAATGGCGGACAACACTGGATTGGACGGCGGGCTGTGGCTACGCCTGAACGTCGAGCAATCAGAACACACTTCCACAAACACACACGGAAGCTGTTTCATGGTAATCCATCGTTTGTATTACGTTTCTCTTAAAAAAAAGGAAAGAAATTGCCTGAAATTACATACCTCATTGTTAATAGAAAAGGCATGCCTCTTCTGATATGCAATACTTATCTGACTTTCAATCACCGCATTGAAAGTGTTCGACTCACAATGTATCAACATGAACTAGCCCAGGTTGGAAGCCAGTCTTCATTAGCCTACATTACGACGTAACGTAATAAGGTCCAGGAGTCCACCTGGGCTACAACATGAGCGTCCATTTACAAGTAGTTTTACAGTTCATAGTGGGCATGCTTGGATGGTATGAGTGTGAATGGGGGGGCGGGGGGGGGGCACACAAGATCGCTCGGGTTGGACCTAGTGCTCATTTGTGTGTAGTCGACGTATCTCACTAGAGAATGGTGACGTTATTGATGTTGCCAAAAACACGCGCAGTTTCTGTTCTCTTGTTCAGGTTGCGATCCAGCCTCGTGGAGAGATTTCTTTCGTGCGCGAGGTAGGACGGACGGTTCGCTCAGGCTATCACTCAGTTATTGGCCTGAAGAAACACGGGGTAAGCGGATGTTGCACTCTTGTATATATAGGCCTACCTGTCTATTTACCCAAACCATGCAGTTATAAGAATGCTTTAATTAAATTCGTTGGAAAGTGTGTCCGTGTTTTGACACTGTGCGAACCACTGGATGCTGTACAACATAATGCTCACGAATACATATCGAAGAATCACAAATATGACATTTTTGAGAGCTTCCATACAGATACTTCAATTTTTAATACAGGAAAAAATAGTGGCCATCATAGCAGGAAAAGTAGCAAGAGACAGACGGGTGTAAAACAATGTTTACACTGCAAAAACGACCGTCAACGGGTATCAATGCTGACTCACTCAACGATCAACAGAGAATATAATTAAATTACAAGAAGAAATAAGACCAAATGGCCATTGCATTTCTCATTAGAACAGGTGCTACATGCAGTTGAAGCTGTTTCGCTCACAGATATTTTGTCTGATTGACAGAGAACGAGCCTGGAATCTCCGTACGACACAAACTGCCGTAAAGACGGCCTGAAATATTTTAACAATTACTCCATTGGTGCGTGTCGTATGGAGTGCCTAACGGACATGGCTATGGAGAAATGTGGATGCATAGCACCTTTCATGCCAGGTAAGAAAAGCATAAAGAATCTGGCAAGTTCAAACTATATAACTTAACCAGGATGAAAAATGTTGGTAAGAAATTTGCCGTTATACACTTGAGAGGCCAACAGAAACAATGCATGATATGAAGTCTAGAAAAGGGTCTGATCTCTCTTCGGCGCAGTCTTATTCTGCGTACCGATGGCTGGTACGATTATGGCTGACCGTCAAAACAAAAGCAAAAGAATAATTCACTTAGTGTTACAAAATCTCACAAGCTATGCAAACCGTAACACTCGATAATAAACACTACTGCTAAATACTATGTGAAGGAAATTGTGATTGGCCAACATTGGTACAAGCATTGGCCAAGCACAAAAAATAGTATACCTAGGCTATCATGACTTTTTATGAGTGCATTAACGCTTACTATTGTGAAACATTCATTATTTGTTTTTACACGATATCTGCATAAATAGGAGAAACAAAATGTCCTCGCGTATTAACGTCCGCCATTTGCGACACAGGTTTGTGTCCGAAGCGCCACCGGTATGGGTTCTACCGTGTAATGTTAGACTGGTTTCCGCCCCTACATTACTTCCCTCTTACTCGTCGGGAAGGAAAAGCATGAGATAGGGCGGGAACCAGCCAAATGAAATGAGGTTCTATTTAACAGGTACCGTTGAATAGAACGAATAATTCAATGACGTGATCAACAATTCCCCAATCAGATGACAGGGATTTATGCATGTATTCTATGATACGTTGCTGGCAACCACACTTCTGCACTAACACACACTTCAAAGGGTATTTGAGGTTGGGCTTCTGGGTATGCCTATAGCAATGTCACAGCAATCCGTTAGAACCCGGAGGACTGTTATTGTTTAATTATATAACAACATATGCTTATTTGGCAGAGTCTTCCGGCTTTCCATACTGTGATCTTGTGACGTTGATCACATGCGCCACTCATGAAGTAGGTAAGCAGATCATAGGCTTCAACTTGTACATGTGCAATGCTTATAGCACCATCGCAATCATTTTCACCGTGTAAGAGTTTTGTTTGTCATGAGGTCAAGTGGCATTTTAACTCAATTATATGAAGATTCCTCATCAACTGCATGTATACTTCTGATTGGCCAGACCAACTTCTCACAAAACTCAAAATGTGCTTGTTTCTTTCTCCCGGTATGCCCAGACAAGACCGTTTCCCTCTGAACTTTAATCCTTGCGGTGTTATTCCAGGAAAACTTACAATATACCAAAGTTTTCATTTTTTTTGGACAGGTTTACCGTATTGCCCTTGCAGCACGCCGTGCAGTGAGGTCTTGTATGACGAACGAGTAAGCTATTCTCAGGCACCATCCATAAGCGTCAAGGATGAAGTGCAACAAATGTTTAACTGGTCGAGAGAGCAAGTGTTGTAAGTACTCTGATTTCATTCGATTCTTCCTCAGAAATACGGTTGCGAAAGTTGGAAAGTATCCACTCAAATACTGCAGCAATATTTACTACCCCATTGCTTGGTCAGGTTCCTTCACGAACCATCGTTCTGTATCAAACGCCTTTACACAGGAGACAATTTCAATCAATCCGACATTAGCACTTCGAACACTTTTTTTAAAAAATAAGAAAAACTTCATCGAGTGCATTCTATATCCTTAGAGACCGCTCATTATGCTTACAATACTTACGAACGTGAATTTGTGACGTCAGGTCAAATTGTTTTGGCGCTGTGAATTAAAAAATGCTGAACAGGGGGAGCGGGTTAGCGGTAATCTCTTCGCTTCGCACCAATGAGGCCCGAGTTAGAGTCCCGGCTTGGCACAGGCTTTAAGTGCATTTGGTTTCAAGTCCATACTCGCTCTCGCAGGTTTTCTCCGGGTACCCCGGTTTCCTCCTGCCTCTAAAAATGGATCTTCTTCCTAACTCCGTGATGTGATGCTGATTAATAAAGGTTAAAAATAAATGGCGCAAATAGTCTGAGTAGCTGAAAGCGCCATTAAAACAAATTAACAAAAATAACAAAGGATGAACATTTCTATACGCAAAGCAAGTCTATAAAGGCTTCGAAACACCCAGTTTGCTTCGCTTGCCTGAAGTATGAATCGCCCTTAAGACAGGATGTTATGTAAGCACACATTACCCACTGCACTCTCGGTGGAGTAGATAAGTGATTATACTTACTGCATTACCACCAATCTCTGAAATCAGACTGCATTTCGACTGACGCACATGGTTTGAGTGTGCAGTGATAACATGACTTTATTTTGCTCCATTATTTTTCTCGTACGAAGAGAGAACATCCTGGAAGTATCGATTTTCTTCGAGGACCTTCGGGAGAAGTGGACAAAACAAGAAGTTGCCTATGGTCTTACAGCTCTTATGAGTAAGAGTCAATGCCTATAATGTCGAATACACATTGTCATAAAACCCTTTGTGATTTGCAATCGTTGCTCACCAACATTCGGAATCCAAGTACGTGGATCAAGACGAATGCTCGTCATCATCCGTAAACTTCCTAACCATTCATATAGCATTTGGCATAATGTAACTTAAACAATTTTATAACAGTCACTGTACATTTTGCTGTAATGTGCCACTTTTACAGTGGAAAAAGCAACTTAATATATCCCTTGTAATATTCACTCTGAACCCTGGGCCAGATTGACCTGGAATGTGGGTCCGACCCGCTTCTAGGTCAAAAGGTACCCTTTTCTGGGTCGCTTTGACACTTTCCAGGGTCATTTTAACCAAGAGAGGATCATTCTTGACGCAGAGACATGTCAGGTCCAACGGGACCCGCATTCCAGGTCATCATGACCCGGGAGGTTTTAATGTATTAACACACTTGTATACAGCACACAGTTAGGTTATTCATCAACTGAATCATGGTTACAGCAGGCATGTTTTCATACACGCATGCGACATCTTGACCTCTCTACTTTGACAAAGGCGTATTAATTAAATACAGGTGTTTGCTTGAGGTTCATTTATCTCACATGCCCTCCTCTACGTCGCAGGTTCGATAGGAGGAGAGTTGGGACTCTGCCTTGGCGGTAGTATCATCACCGTCTTCGAGTTCGCCGACTTCCTCCTGACCAGAGAAGCTCTTCACTGGCGACTGTTCACGAAGAAACTCAGCCGCTTCAGCCAACGAAAGCAACGAAATCATCCAGTTTGATGCCATTTCACAACTCAAACCTTTTTGCCCATTTGCCCTCAAGTTTTTCTCGCCGGTAAACCTTTACCATTCTTTCGTGGAAAACGTGTGAACAACTGTGTATGTTTATTTCGAGAATTTACTGCCGCTTTTTTGACTCAGTTTCCCGATTTGTTTCTTCAGTTGATCGCTTTGATCCGGATCCGTTAAATTGATTTGCATAAAATTATTGTGGCAGTTATGCTGGCGCATAGCAACATTGACATGGATAGATCGTGAACGGTCGAAACACCCGAACTCCAGCCTGTTCAAAGTAAACGATAAGAGACAATGGGTCAAGATGACGGATTAGTTGGAAGTGGAACATTTCAGGGCTCGGTAACAGCGTGGCCATTTTCCATTTTGCGTGGAATCACCCAAGAGAAATTGAAATGCTAGTTATTGCTTCGAGGACCAAGTGCGGGTGTTGTGTGAGGAAAGTTTTAAATTATGTTTGAACTATCAACGACAAACACGATTTGACACCGTACACGCACTTGAAGTAAGGGTAGGACGTGAGGCCTATATGCTCCACTTGTGTTCCGAGCTCAGAATCGGACAAGACAAAGATTTTATCACAATACTTGTAACAATGAATGATTAATGGAATACCCTCTTACAAAATGAAACCTACCACGATGAATCCAAAAACTGAACCACTTTAACACAACATGCTCCACATTTCACGACACGCCTCCTCTGAGTACTGGAAATGTGAACTTTCAAGACGCCTGGTGACGTCACTGTGACTTCCGTCAAGCTTGGGCAGAATATACACAGGCTCGCAATGATTAAAAATGTCAAGTTCTCCACCGACAAGCGTCTCAAAGTCTCCCAATGCTTTTGATCCAAGGAACACTGTATAACATTAGAGCTAAGAACATGGGGTTTAACTGGACACCCACTTGTTCCCACCTGCCCGTACTTTCGGTTATAGATGCCTTGTTTATAACCCTGTGGAGACTGGAAATTCATTTCTATAGTATACCTGGTGGAAGACGGGGCATCCAGTCACGATCTGGCCAACCAGGTTGGTCTCCACTGCGTTGGTTCTGTTGCACCAGCCACTCTGTTAGGGGCTGGAAATACTCCACGAGAGCTGCTCCATCGAACTGTCTTTGACCTGTGGCTACGTTCATGGCTTCGTGCCACGGCTTGCTGATACCAAGCCTCATCACAGCACTACCAAACAATAGATTTAATTTCCAATGGTTCAGTGAAAAAAAACAACTAGACAATGCTTAAAGAAATTGAGAGACTGAAAGACAAAACTAGGCTAATAAATTTAACAGTAGATAAATGCTTGAAAAGGGAACTATTGAGACACAAGCGTCAAAATGATGTCCTCTGTTCAAGATTGATATAGCATCTTAACCCATTGCGAAAAAGTTCATATTAACATGAGGCACACCTTACCTCAAAACGTCACCGGCTTGTGTCGAGTTGTAAATGTCGCATTTGTGGAGGGGGCCAACGTGCCCAGAGAGTCTGCATAACGATTGGTACAGCTGGAACTGTACAATATAAGCCAGAAAGTATCTGTCGGCAAAAGTAAAACAAATCGAATATGGGCCTTTAATTACAAGTGCTTCAATCAAATTATTGATAATTTGGCACTGCAATATCGAGTGTCAGCCCACAGGTAGTTCTTCTGCGGCCATTTTTTGATTACCACCGGTCGATTTTGCTCGGTACCGATGAAATGATTTATGCACAGGCAATGACATAATTTATTCATGACTGTATGCGTACCGCATTATTGAAGGGCTCGGTTGTTGCATTCAGAAATATTCAGTATAGAGCTATAGCACATGCCGTAATAGATACATTTCCCGAGTAGGCAAACAGTGGGCTGAGCTCGATACTAGTTTTGATAACACGAACAGTATATTCTTCGTTAGTCTCTAAAGCCCAGAGTCACCTTGTGTAGCTGACATCGGCACTGACATGGTAGATCGATGCAGGGTCGAGATCGGTTTCGTCTCTGCGTAAAGGTGGCGTGATGCCCTGATACTGTTTTCTACAAGAAAAAAACAACAACACAATCGTTGCTGTTAGTGACGAAGAATAGGCTTTGTCGACTTTCAAGCCCAGTATTTTACAGTGGCTTAGATAAAAGTTGATGAAAGTCAAACGAAATGAACTTGCCAGGCGGCAGTGGTATTCAGAATACTAAGTCTTATTCTACTTTAATCTAATTACCTTAATTGCCACCATATTGTATTGTACTGGTCATCTGGTATAGAGCCATTAAACACGGCCCATCGCCACTTATCAACGATGATAGAAAAAGGCAGAAACGCAATTTTCTCGAGAGCCATTCCCATCAAGAAATTCAGTTCAGCTTCTGAGAAACGGAACAAAGAGGAAATACATGTGAAATGCTTGAAGTGATGAAAGTCCTGTAATTATATGAAGGTATGAGCAAGTTGAATTTCAATTCTGTAAAAGTAGGCCATTCGCTAGTGTTTGGTGCTTGAAATATCTCATGAGTTTTATGCATAGCCGCTGAAACTTGGACGGATGTTTTGTTGTTTTGTTTAAATGGCGCGTTCAGCTACTCAGATTATTTGCGCCAACTTGGACGGATGGCCGGTAAGGCGCTTGAATAGACCTGTGTTCTGACGACTTCACAGTTGATTTACATGTACACTTTCCTATGGAGCCAGTTGGGGCCCACTGTCCACTGAGCACCATATGAAAGCACTCACGTAAACAAAGTGTGGTGACACAGGCCCGTAGGCTGGGGGGTTCGGGGGGGGGGGTTCGAATGAACACCTCCTCCCGCCAGCTTCCGAGTTCCGCTCGTTGTTGTTGTTTTTGTTTTTTTAATAAATTTATAATTTTAATATAGGCCTGCCGTAATTTTCGGAATGTAAGCCGCGGTTTATACATTGATTCTCAGGCGGAAAATATCTCTGCGGTTTATAATGAACTGCAGGCGGTTAATACAGCAATATTTAAAGAATGAATTCAGTCACTGAACGCCGCTCCATGCCTCAGCGCAGCCTAACCCGGACCGCCGCCCCGGCCAGCCAGCCGCGTACCAGCGGCGCGGCGCAGCGGTCCGGGCGGAGGGACAAGGCAGTCATGTTTTCATCGGTTGCCGTTTACATTGGCTACGGTTGAAAAATGGTCCTAAGTGCCCGAGAAAGTTGTGGGTTGCCACTTGGAAAATGGCTGCAATCAGACTTCGGAAAAATCACTTTTTGGGGGTGAATTTGTTTTGTGGGAATAATTAAAAATGTAA